TTTCTAGCCTTTAATAATAATGTTTATGGCGTATATAAATTAACTTTTGTAGGGCATACATGAGAAGAAACATACACAGTTAGATACACAATGAAAGAGAATCTTTAGAGTTTGGTCAAATTGGTCCTGTGTGGGGCTTCCCTGGTGGCGCAGTGGTTGAGAGTCCGCCTGCCGATGCAGGGGACACCGGTTCGCGCCCCGGGCCGGGAAGATCCCACATGCCGCGGAGCGGCTGGACCCGTGAGCCATGGCCGCTGAGCCTGCACGTCTGGAGCCTGTGCTGTGCAACAGGAGAGGCCACAACAGTGAGAGGCCCACGTACCGCAAAAAAAAAAAAAACAAAAATTGGTCCTGTGTGGATTTCATAGTATATTTTGCTGTAAATTTACTAACTTTTAACTTGGCACTCAGTTAAATTGGAGGATTCTTTTCCTTTCCTCATTCAAAGTTATATTAATATAACCAGTTGTAATCAGAGTACTTTACCGAACTATACAATAATGTTATTTCCTACACTTCGGGAAAATACGTGTCTCAAAGATTCTTTTCTCTTTATAATATTCTGCCCACCTTCCCTTCTCCCTACATCCCACATTAAGATTTAATTCTTAAATTACTCTGAGCTTTAGAGAAATGTCCAGATTTCTTTGTACCACATATGTTTTGGTTTTCTGAATATTGCACACTAATGAAAATTCCCTGTGCATCTGTAGTAAATAAACCTTTGAATTGCTAATTGTTTCAGATCAGCCCCCTAGATCTTTAGCAGCTGTCTTTATGGCATTTTCAGCCCACAGATTCAGTCTGTTTGTTTCTGGGATTTTAATCATCAGCCATACACACAGGCACAAAGGTCAGGTTGCCTTGTAGACAGAGTGGTGGTAACATCTGTATGTGCTGTAGCCTCCACGGGGGTGCGGCTCATCCTTTATCTCCTCCTCTCACCTTGTGTTAGTCAGCTCAGGCTGCCATCAGAGAATGCCACAGACTGGGTGGCTTAAACAACAACAGTGGATTTTCTCACTGTCTGGAGGCCAGAAGTCTGGAAGTCCATGATCAGGGTGCTAGCAGAGTTAGGTTCTGGTGATGCCTGTCTCCTCAGCTTGCACACAGCTGCCTTCCTACAGTGTTGTCACAAGGCCTTTCCTCTGTGCACACACTTTTGTTGTCTCATCTTCTTAAAAGGATGCCAGTCCTGTCTGATTAGGGCCCCACCCTTATGATCTCATTAACCTTAATTACGTCTTCCATTCAATCCTCCAGCTCCCCGTCTCCCCTTCTCCCCTTCTCTCCACAAGCCTCATGCTCTAGGATACTGATCTCTATGGGATCCAGGTCTTCTGGCTTCTGCTGGGGTTCAGCCTTGGTATACATTGACCAAAAATGGGAGAGAGGGAGGAAGAGACTGGGGTCTTGCTCAGCACACATTCCTCTGGCTTCTTCCCTGCAGGGCCAACATGGGTTGGCAAGTCCCCTGACCAGTTTTCAACTCCTTTTAGCTCCTCTGTCTCCCGTTTCAGTGACTCCTCTCTCCCTGGCTCCCTTTAGGCAGTTACTGACCCCATACCCTCCTTTGGAGTTTGCCTTTGCCATGCCCAGTTGAATTTAAGCTTTGGCTCTGACCTTAGTGAGCACTTCCGATTCCCAGTTTGCTCATCTGTAAAATAATGATATAGACTTGAATTGTGCAGAATAATGTTTGTACAGTGCTTGGTGCATAGTAAGTTTCTGTAAACGTTAGTCTCTGTGGTTTTTAGTGCACAGTGAACCTTCTATGTATAAAACTCTCCTTGATTATAAAACAAAAATTATCTCTTGGGCTTCCCTGGTGGCGCAGTGGTTGAGAGTCCGCCTGCCGATGCAGGACACATGGGTTCGTGCCCCGGTCCAGGAGGATCCCACTTGCCGCGGAGCGGCTGGGGCCCTGGGCCCCGGGC